TACAAAAGAGATAAAATTGCTACATCCAGTTATGTTACCTATTACTTGCCCCTAGTAGCCGTAATACTTCGTAAACAAAGTAAATATGAATCGTTGAGTATTTTTACGTTTCCCTTCGATAGCACAACCTGGATCTTAACATTAATATTTTATGGTTTAATAGTTATATTGAATAAGATTAATGTGCACCGACGAAAAGCGAATAGTTTTCAGATTTATGAAATTTTTATTGGCATGTCGGTGAAAAACGTTCCCAAGACTTCATCGAAACGTATTCACTTTATGACTGCCCTATTAAGTTCCTTTTTCTTACGTTCCGTCTATCAGTCATTGCTGTTCTATCTCTTTCGTACTCACTTCTATAAATCCCCACCGCTATCTCTAGAAGATCTTGTAGCTGAGGGATATTCAGCTGTTTGCAGTGAAATGTCTACGATTTTCATAGCAAATGTTCCACAAGTTCTGGACAAAAGTTTGCCAATAATTACCATTTACAGTGCAAATGAAATGTATCCATTATATTATTTGGAACTCTATCGTGATCGAAATTATGCTGCTATATCGATTTATGATTTTGCTCAATATTACGCCTATCAAATGTTACCGATCGGTGAGGTATTGCTGGTATTACCCATTAATGTTAACGAGCAACAAATCGGTTTCTATTTGGCAAAACATTCGTATTTGGTTGAACGCTTTAATAGTTACATTTTGCTCTTTCAACAAGCCGGCCTACTCCTAAAGTGGAAGGATTGGTCAAATTACGATTATCAAATCTCTAAACTAATCAGTTCATCGGGGCCTAAAGAATTTGTTTTTATGATCAGTTTAAATCAGTTGATTGGATTCTTTTTCGTAATGTTATTATTATATTTTGTGTCGTTTATAGTATTTTTACTAGAACTACTATCGCTAAAAATTAAAATTTTAAAAATGTTTTTTGAAATTTCTTTTTCGAAAAAAACTAAATTTATAAAAAATAATTGCAAAAAAACAAAGAAACGTGTTAATTACTTTAAGTAATTGCTTGTTTCTGAAAATTTATTAAATGTTAAAAATAAATATTTAAATATTTGTTGTATGTACCTTGCTTCAATTATTATTAAAATGTTAAGAAGAAATGATGAATAAATATTAATTAAATGTGCTACTCACTTATTTGTATTTTTTATTAAAATTAATATAGTCTATAGTCCAGGTATACTCTAGTCTATAGTATAGTCTATAGTCCAGTTTATAGTATAGTCTATAGTCTAGTATATAGTCTAGTATATAGTCTAGTCTATAGTCTAGTATATAGTCTAGTCTATAGTCTAGTATATAGTCTAGTCTATAGTCTAGTCTATAGTCTAGTCTATAGTCTAGTCTATAGTCTACTCTATAGTCTAGTCTATAGTCCAGTCTATTGTCTAGTCTATAGTCCAGTCTATAGTCTAGTCTAGTCTATAGTATAGTCTATAGTCTAGTATATAGTAGTATAGACTACTCCAGTCTATAGTATAGTCTATATTATAGTCTACTCTATAGTCTAGTCTATAGTATAGTCCATTGTTTAGTCTATTGTCTAGTATATAGTATATAGTCTAGTATATAGTCTAGTATATAGTCTAGTATATAGTCTAGTCTATAGTATAGTCCATTGTTTAGTCTATTGTCTAGTATATAGTATATAGTCTAGTATATAGTCTAGTATATAGTCTAGTATATAGTCTAGTCTATAGTCTAGTATATAGTCTAGTCTATAGTCTAGTCTATAGTCTAGTATATAGTCTAGTCTATAGTCTAGTCTATAGTCTAGTCTATAGTCTAGTCTATAGTCTAGTCTATTGTCTAGTCTATAGTCTAGTCTATAGTCTAGTCTATAGTCTAGTCTATAGTCTAGTCTATAGTCTAGTCTATAGTCTAGTCTATAGTCTAGTCTATAGTCTAGTCTATAGTCTAGTCTATAGTCTAGTATATAGTCTAGTCTATAGTCTAGTATATAGTCTAGTCTATAGTCTAGTCTATAGTCTAGTCTATAGTCTAGTATATAGTCTAGTCTATAATCTAGTCTATAGTCTAGTATATAATCTAGTCTATAGTCTAGTATATAGTCTAGTCTATAGTCTAGTATATAGTCTAGTCTAGTCTATAGTCTAGTCTATAGTCTAGTCTATAGTCTAGTCTATAGTCTAGACTATAATCTAGTCTATAGTCTAGTCTACAGTATAGTCTATAGTCTAGTCTATAGTCTAGTCTACAGTCTAGTTTATAGTCTAGTCTATAGTCTAGTCTATAGTTTAGTCTATAATCTAGTCTATAGTATAGTCTAGTATATAGCCTAGTCTCTAGTCTAGTCTAGTCTAAAGTTACAAAGTTCGCAAAGCAACAAAAAAGTCCATATATTATAATATTTGGAAAACGCAAACATCGTCAACATCTATTATTTAAGTAAATATTTAAATAATTTACTAATTAACCAATACTTTTACAACTACGCATTTAAATGTCAATTATTTTAGGCAGAAAAAACAAAAACTGAATTTATTCTCAAAGCATATAACGACATGAACGTAACAGCATTTCAAGACGCTTACTTAAAGCGTATAGAAACCATAATACAACCAGAGGAAATAAATTTTCTTGTAGCAAACGCTTTGAGATTTATTGTACAAAATGTATTTGCAAATATTTCGAATACGTTTGTCATTACCATATCATCCGCTGAAGGACCAGTCGAATTTTGGCTGAACGATTTAATGAGTAAATTATTTGTTAGTTGGAGTTTTATGGCATTACAACTAGTTGTTCTGGATCAAAAAACCAAACAAATGGAAGTGCCCGGAAAACGTTACTGCAATCTGATTTTAATAGATTCTTTCGAAAGTCTCGAGAAAACTAATATTGCCGCCTATAATCGAAATTCCGATAATTTGGAATATTACTTTTTATTTCTACAAATACCTGATCATAAAGCTAAAAGTGAAATGAGAAGAATTTTTAAATATTGTTTCGATAATTACTGGATTCATTGCGATATAATGTTGCAGAATTCAATAGGAGAGATATTGGTTTATACTTATTTTCCTTTTGAGGCAAACAATTGCTTTCAAACGGAACCCAAACTGATTAATCGATATATGGATGATCGTTTTGTGAATGTTGCAATGTTTCCAGATAAATTACAAAATTTACATAAATGCCCCTTGAAATTAAGCACTTGGGAGACAGCACCATTTGTTATAAAAGCACCAAATACAAAGTTTCCAAATATATCTGTATCTGGTTTTGAAATCCTTACCATGATTGCCATTAGTCAACAAATGAATTTCACCCTGGACATTGATTGGATTTCTTCGGAGACGTATTATGAACAGTCAGATTCTGGACCTTTGTCGAAGGTATGTGTAATCGTAAAAGTTTAGAATAATTACAGTATTATATTACATTCAACTGTATATGATTAAATGTGTATGTTTACAGCTTAAGAACGTTGAAACAAACATTACTATGGGTTATTTTCGACGTACAGCCGATCGGGATAAAATTGCTACACCCACCTATGTCACCTATTACATACCGATAGCCGCTATTATAATGCGCAAACAAGTGCAACACATATCTATCGGTATGTTTACATTTGCTTTCGATAAAACTACTTGGATTTTAATGATAATATTTTATGGCGTCATCGGAGCAATTCATAGTTTTAGAAATACGAATGGAACATTTCAAATATTTGAAATATTCATAGGTATGCCAGCAGCAAAGTTGCCTAGGAGAGCATCGAAGAGAATACGTTTTGCCACAATTTTATTAACTTCATTCATAATACGTTCCATCTATCAGTCGTTGTTGTTCTTTCTATTTCGCACCAATTTCTACCAACCAGCACCGATTACCTTAAATGCTTTAGTTGATGCTGGTTATAAAGCCGTATCAACTGAATTAACTAAAGAATTTCTACTTTATGTACCAGAAATTGAGGACAACTCCTTACCACTGATAACACTCAATACCACAGATGAAATGTACCCTTTGGATTATGTTTATCGCAATCCTAATGAAAGTTATGCGGCGATGTCTATTGCGGAATTCACTTTACGTTATGTTAGAGAACACATGTCAGTTGGAGAAGCCCTTATAATTTTACCCATTAATGTCAAGGACCAACAAATTGGTTTCTATTTAACGAAACATTCATATTTAATCCAACAGTTTGATTATTATATTTTGCATTTTCATCAAGCTGGCCTTTTAGATAAATGGAGAGAATGGGCAAGATTATATTATCGAGTTACCAGAAGTCGTATCTCTACCGCCTACGAAAATGCATTAATGATAAGTCTAAAGCAATTGTCTGGCTTTTTGCTTCTGATAGTCACATTATATGGAATATCAATGATCATTTTTGGTCTTGAGCTGTTATCAATGAAATATTGTAGATGGTTGCAAAAGATTTTATGATTCAAAAAGAATTAATTTTTTGTAAATGTTTAAAAATGTATGTATTGGGAAATTGAAATAAATCTATTTAAAAGAAATCATAATTCTATTAATATTAAGTTGGGCAAGGTTATAACAACAGCTGAAGTTTATAACTGACTTGTGGACTTGAGGACTCTCTGGAATTCTTGGATATGCACCGACCCTTATCATAGGACATATGTATAAGCACTCAACATATGTACAACTAGGAATTAGGTTTTTAGAGTATTAAAATTTTCATATAAAATTTCCAAATGTTCTATTATTTTTTCTGAATGAGGGCTTTAGTATTCAATGTTTAAAAGTCCTAAAATCTTTATATTAAAAACGGAATAACAAACCAAAAATATATTCTCTTAAGTAAACAATATTAGCAAATATTAATTTAGTCATTGTTAATAAATACTACATAGTAGTAAATACTTAAATTAAACACTAATTAACCAATACTTCTACACCTATTTAAATGTCAATTATTTGTAGGTGGAAAAAATGCTAGTTAGTTTATTCTCAAAGTAATCATATTTATCAACATGAACACTTCGGTATTTCAAGACGCTTATTTAAGACGCATCGAAACGATTATACAACCAGAGGAAATAAATATTCTTGTTGCAAATGCTTTGAGATTTATTGTACAAAATGTATTTGCCAAAATGTCGAATACTTTTGTCATTACCATATCATCCGCTGAAGGACCAGTCGAATTTTGGCTGAATGATTTAATGAGTAAATTATTTATTAGTTGGAGTTTTATGGCATTACAACTAGTAGTTCTGGATGAGAAAACCGAACGTTTGGAAGTTCCCGGAAAACGTTATTGTAATCTAATACTAATTGATTCCTACAAAAGTTTAGAGAAAGCTAATATAGCGACATACAATCAAAATTCCGATAGTTTGGAATATTACTTTATATTTCTACAAATACCTGATCATAAAGCTAAAAGTGAAATGAGAAGAATTTTTAAATATTGTTTCGATAATTATTGGATTCATTGCAACATAATGTTGCAGAATTCAGAGGGGGAAATACTGATTTATACATATTTTCCTTTTGAGGCAAACAATTGCTTTCAAACGGAACCCAAACTGATTAATCAATATATGGGTGAACGTTTTGTTAATGTTGGAATGTTTCCAGATAAATTAAAGAATTTACATAAGTGCCCCTTGAAATTAAGCACCTGGGAGACGGAACCATTTGTTATAAAAGCACCAAATACAAAGTTTCCAAATATATCTGTATCTGGTTTTGAGATTCTTACAATGATTGCCATTAGTCAAAAAATGAATTTCACCCTGGACATTGATTGGATTTCAACTGATACTTATTATGAATCATCAGAGTCTGGTCCATTGTCAAAGGTACGTGTAAACATTGTTTAAAACTTTAATATCATTACACCTTTATATTTCCTTAAAACGGTTATGATTATATATTTTGATTACATATCATTACAGCTTAAGAACCTTGAAACAAACATTACTATGGGTTACTTTCGACGTACAGCTGATCGAGATAAAATTGCCACGCCCACCTATGTCACCTATTATATACCGATTGCCGCTATAATAATGCGCAAACAAGTTCAACACATATCTATAGGAATTTTTACATTTGCTTTCGATAAAATGACGTGGATTTTAATGATCATATTTTATGGCATCATAGGAGTAATTCATAGTGTTAGAAGTAAAAGGGGAACTTTTCAAATATTTGAAATATTCATAGGTATGCCAGCTGCAAAGCTACCTAGGAAAGCATCGAAAAGAATACGTATTGCCACAATTTTATTAAGTTCTTTTATACTACGTTCCATATATCAGTCGTTGCTGTTCTTTCTATTTCGCACCAATTTCTATCAACCATCACCGATTAGTTTAAATGCTTTAGTGGATGCTGGTTATAAGGCTGTATCTACTGAATTGACAAAAGAATTTTTACTGTATGTACCAGAAATTGAAGATAAATCCTTGCCATTGATAACACTCAATACCACAGATGAAATGTATCCCTTGGGTTATGTGGATTACTTTCGTAATGAAAGTTACGTGGCCATGTCTATTATTGAATTCACCATACGTTATGTACGAGAATACATGGCCGTTGGGGAGGCCCTTCGTATTTTACCCATTAATGTCAAGGATCAACAAATCGGTTTTTACTTAACAAAACATTCGTATTTAAGTCGTCATTTTGACTATTATATTTTGCATTTTCATCAAGCTGGCCTCTTGAATAAGTGGAGAGAATGGACAAATGTCTATTATCAAGTTACTACGAAACGCTCTACTAGCGTCTATAGTGGAGAATTAATGATAAGTCTGAAACATTTGGCGGGTTTTTTATTTCTAATAATCACTTTATATGGAATATCAATGATCATTTTTTGCTTTGAGTTATTGTCAATGAAATATTGTGTATGGTTGCAAAAGTTCTTATAATTCACAAAGGAATGATTATGTAATTTTTGTAATAAATCAGGCTAGACTATAGACCAGACTAAAGACTATACTATAAACTAGACTAGAGACTAGTTTAAAGTCTAGTATTTCTTAACTGTTAGTTTAAGGTAAATTTATTTCGAAAGCCTAAAGATATGTTATAGATTCTGCTCAATTTTAAAATATTTATTAAATATGTAAATGTTTACCCAGACAAAAAATATTGTATGCTACATCTGGTAGTGTCTCCATATTGATGTTTATTAACTATAACTAATACTTTTCTCAGCCTTTATTTTAAGCGAATTTTCAGGTTTATATCATCTCTAACGTCCACTTTTATAAGGTGTAAACAAATTAAATAATAGCCGAAACCACCTAAAATGAATATTTCGTATCAATATTACAGTACGTTACAATTACCAGCTCAAATTCATTATACCTAATATAGGAGCGTAGCATAAAATGACACTGCAAAAATAAATTTTAATGAAAAAAAATTGCAAAACAAATCTTTATATAAAAAAATACTACTCCTACCACTTTCTTATCTAAAAAATATACATATTTAAATTAAAATAAATGATTAAATAAATAACACGCGTTCATATAGGAAAACCTGTTTGTTTTGCCTAAATTAAATTTGCAAATTTTAGAAAAAAAAATAGAAAAACAATTAAAAATTCTATAAACGTTTGATGAACTTCTAAAATACAAAAAAAGAAAACAAACTAAAAGTTTTTAAATCTTTATGCTTAATTTTATTTAAATACATTGTATTAAATAAAAAATATAGAACAGTAAAACATCATACGATCAACATAGTAGAAGATTACATAATTATTAATAAATTTTATATAAAAAAAATAAACACTTTAAATGCAAGACTGGTTTATAGGCACTTTTAAAAAGTCATCTAACGCCTGATTACTTTTTTTTACAAATTTACAATTTTTGTACCAAAATTGAGGAGGCACCACCACCACCGTTGCAAATGGAGGCACAGCCGTATTCACCGGCTTTGAGGGCATGAGACAAATGGGTAATCAAACGAGCACCAGACATACCAATGGGATGACCTAGGGAAACAGCGCCACCATGTACGTTTACTTTGCTGGGATCAACATCCATTTTACGCATGTTGGCCACCACGACCAAAGAGAAGGCTTCATTAATTTCCCACATGGCAACATCTTCCTTTTTGATGCCAGCTTTCTCCAACAATCTGGGGACAGCTAAAGCGGGAGCAATGGGGAAATCAATTGGATCGGTTTCGGCATCTTGGAAGGCCACAACACGAGCCAAAGGCTTCAAGTTCATTTGGGCAGCTTTGTCGGCGGTCATCAAAACCAAAGCAGAACCGCCATCGTTTAAGGTGGACGCATTACCAGCGGTAACGGTGCCATTTTCTTTTTGGAAAACAGTCGACAGTTTGCCGAACTTGTCGAAATTGACACGTCTGTATTCTTCGTCTTCGGCAACAATGATGTCGGCCTTGCGCTTTTGTTGAATGGTTACGGGGGCAATTTCAGCCTCGAATACCTTATTGGCCCAGGCCTCAGCAGAGCGTTTGTAGGAGTTGATGGCGAAATCATCTTGATCTTGACGAGTGATGCCCATTTTTTTGGCGGTGTTTTCAGCACAGTTGCCCATGTGGAATTTGTTGTAAACATCCCACAAGCCATCGAAAACAATACCATCAATGAGGTTAACACCACCATAGGGAGTTTGGCCACGTTTCAAGTAGTAAGGGACATTGGACATAGATTCCATACCACCGGCCACAGCAATATCAGCTTGTCCCAACATCAAAGATTGACTGGCAATCATGACGGCTTTCATGCCAGATGAACACACCTTATTGACAGTTGTGCAACAGACATTCTTAGGCAAACCTGCGAAAATGGCAGCTTGTCTGGCGGGAGCTTGACCCAAACCGGCTGACACTACATTGCCCATATAAACTTCTTGGACATCTTCCTTGCTAATGCCGGCTCTTTGAACAGCTGCCTCAATGGCCACAGCGCCCAATTGCGTGGCAGAAAGGGGAGCCAATTGTGATTGGAAACTGCCCATGGGAGTACGGGCAGCAGATACAATTACCACATCATTGATTTTTGAGCTAAAGAAACGGGTCTGACCAAGAGTGCCCATTAATCTGGAAGCCTTCAAAAATGCAGCCATCTTGACTTTTATGTTGTGGAAAATTTATTTTATCTATTCTATCACAAGCAGCGAACAACCCAACTGGTTGAATGGAAAAAAACGAACTAAATTAATATAATCCACACGGGTTTTCTTTCTTTTTTACGGAGCAGAGCTGTCAAATTGCATAACATCTTCAGATTCCACAATATTTCCAAAAGAAAGCAAAAACAATAACAAAACAACAAACGGCTGTTATTTTTAAATATGTACTACCAAAACCATTAACTTAAAATATTGTTAGTTATTTTAGTTTTTTATTTATTTTTTAAGTTTTTTCTTTTTTTTTTAATTAAGAGCACATTTGCACACTGTATTTTTTAACAAAAATTATAATTTTTTTTAATAATTGTTAAATCTTCTAATACAAATGAGATTTTTAAACTGTCAAAATATTGTGGTACTTAATAATATTGACAGTAAACACTTCCTAAAGTAGTAACAGTATGATTACAATTAGAATCGCTGACGTCAAACGATAAGCAACAATAACAATTCATCTATTATGTCTAAAAGTTGAAAAAATTGAAAATAGTCGAAGAGAGTCGGAAAAAAGTAGAAAAGAACGTTCCTTTAAAAAGTTAAGGGTGAAAATAAAAAACGAAAAAAGTGGAAAGAAGTTCAAAAAGTCGACTATTTGTTTTAACTATTAAAACTAATATTGTACCAATGAAATTCTGTTTCATTGAAAACAAAAGTTGGCAGCATCTTTTTTCAATTTTCATTCTGAACACTTCCCTCCAAATCGATGACAGCGGCATTTTTTGTTTTCGCAAGAAGAAGCATATTTGACAAATATAAATTTTGCAAATTCACGGAGCCTACGAAAATAAAAGAATACTGAAAATAATTTTTTAAAACATATAGATAATTCTCCAAATAACTAAGAAAAATACGTAAAATACACTATGACTACCGGTAGTGCTCCTGCTGATGGTGTACGAGAGAAGGCTCTCTTTGATTATCGTAAAAAATTGTTGGAACACAAAGAAGTTGAATCGAGACTTAAGGAAAGTAAGTACACAAAGTTCCAGTGATATGGTAATCAATTTTTAACAATTTTTTGTTTTAAATAAATAAACAGAACGTGAAGAAATCAAGGAACTTACAAAACAATATGATAAATCAGAAAATGACTTAAAGGCACTACAAAGTGTGGGCCAGATTGTGGGAGAAGTATTAAAACAATTGACAGAAGATAAATGTAAGTAGAGTTTATAAGGATAATAAGAGAGTTGAATTTAACACAAAAATTCCATATTAACAGTTATTGTGAAAGCCACCAATGGACCCCGTTATGTGGTAGGCTGCCGCCGTCAATTGGATAAAACTAAGCTAAAGTCAGGCACACGTGTAGCCTTGGATATGACCACTCTAACAATTATGCGTTATTTGCCACGTGAGGTAGATCCTTTGGTTTACAATATGTCACACGAAGATCCTGGTGATGTTACATACTCTGCTATTGGTGGTCTGTCCGAACAGATACGTGAGCTACGTGAGGTTATCGAATTGCCTTTATTAAATCCAGAGCTTTTCCTCCGTGTGGGTATTACCCCACCAAAAGGTTGTCTTCTGTATGGCCCTCCTGGTACTGGCAAAACTTTGCTAGCTCGTGCTGTAGCCTCTCAGTTGGATGCAAATTTCTTGAAAGTTGTCTCCTCAGCTATTGTCGACAAATATATTGGTGAATCGGCACGTTTGATCCGTGAAATGTTCAACTACGCTCGTGATCATCAACCCTGTATTATATTTATGGATGAAATTGATGCTATCGGTGGAAGACGTTTCTCAGAGGGTACCTCGGCTGATCGTGAAATTCAACGTACTCTTATGGAGTTGCTGAATCAAATGGACGGTTTCGATGCTTTGGGTCAAGTGAAAATAATTATGGCTACCAATCGTCCCGATACTTTGGATCCTGCCTTGTTGCGTCCTGGTCGTCTTGATCGTAAAATTGAAATTCCACTGCCTAACGAACAAGCTCGGTATGAAGGAAATTTCTTAAATTTGTATTATAAATTAATTTTTTTGTTTTATATTTCAGTATGGAAATCTTAAAGATTCACGCATCTAAAATCGCCAAACATGGTGAAATCGACTATGAAGCCTGTGTGAAACTTTCGGATAATTTCAATGGAGCTGATCTGCGTAATGTTTGTACAGAAGCTGGTCTTTTTGCAATAAGGTAAATCTTAACTCAGAAATTAGAAAAAACTAATTTTAAATTCTTTTTTTATCCCTTCAGAGCCGAACGTGAATATGTTATCCAAGAAGATTTTATGAAGGCTGTACGAAAAGTATCCGATAACAAAAAATTGGAAAGTAAATTAGATTACAAGCCCGTTTAATATTGATCTTTCATTTTTATTCAATACACACATAAAAACATTTACAAAATCAATATAAAAAACTATTAAAATAAAACAAATGTACTTTTATTCTATTTTGATGTTATTGTCACATTTATCCTTCTATTAGGATGTCATTTCTTCATTTCTGTTTCTCTTCAATGCGTCTTTTTTTACGTTCCAAATACTCGCTAACATTATCGTATTTCTTTTTAAACCACACTGATATATCCTCGGGAGTCCAAGTGTATTCTTTGAATTGTTCTTCTACCATTTCTATCCAATTTAAAGGTGCTTCAAGACCACTTGCTTTTATTACTAAATGATCATTTACAACTCCGGTAACATATAACCTATCCAAAGCGTATGCCAAATTACAGCAAATCATATCGCTAAAGGCTAGCAATTGTGGAGCAGAAAATTGCCATTGTTTATCATTATTTTGTGTCAATTCGTATGTAGCCACGCATTCATTAGGTTGGTGCAGTAAAACAGATATTTCATATTTACCGCTTTCTAAAGACTTTAGAGCCAATTTAATGCCAGGTGCCGGTAATTCTACTCTATTAAGTTCTTTGCCTTCTCTAAAATCCCACAATCTTAATGTTTTATCGCCAGAAATTGTAGCCAGAACATCATCGTTTAAAAGTTCCAAGCCGGCTACAAACTCTTTGTGACCCAAACAATAACTGTGTACATCATAGGTGGCAGGATAGTTGGTAACTCGTACTTTGTCATCTCTGTCACAGGTTATTATAAACTTTTCATCTTTGGACCATAAAATATCATAAACAATACTTAGGTGACCCAACAATAACTTAGGCACAGCTTCATAATTCTCACAATCGTATTCATAGCAATCGCCAGTTTTGTCAGTAACTAACAAACGTTTTGAATCACTGCTAAAAGCTAAAGCTGAGGAAGCTCTAGCCAATGACCTAATCGATATCAGCTTCGCATGTTCTGGTCTTAGATGATACAATAACAAGGCCTTCTGACCGGCCGTAGTTACCGCCAATAATTGATGATCTGGTGACATCTTTACATGTTGCAGTGTTGGCAGCTCCTTTGAAAAATTCTGATGCTGCTTTGTTTCCTCTTCCTGTTGTTCAGCATCATTGTTTATTTGGCTCACTATTTTCACTCCACATTTTGTTAAATCTTCCGGCAAAACAATTTCCTTAAATATTTGTAAGTCATTAGGATTCACAAATATTATACGTTTTGCCAAGGCAATGACTAATTCGGGTTCGGTATAAAATATTGTACTCATATTTGGTGAAATTTTTTCAACAATTAACTGATATAAACAATAAATATTTCATCGACACTTAATTCCCACGTTATTTTTTTATTGGAACATGTACAAAAAATGTAAATAGAAAGTACCAGGGTTGGAAAAGTTTATGCTATTGTAGTATTTTATACTAAAACTGAAAATTAATTAATATTTACGAATCACATTGTGAACAAGTGGAAGACTAACATATTACATTTTAATTTAGTATTTATTAAAAATTCGAAGAATGATTAAAAATTTTTAAATTTTATTTAAAATTCAGAATTTTATAAAAAATTCAAAATTTCATTAAAAATTAAAATTTTTATTATAAATTCAAAATTTATTTAAAAATTAAAATTTTTATTATTAATTCAAAATTTTTACTAAATATTTGAATTTTCACTAAAATTGAGATATTATTAAAAATTCAAATTTCACTAAAAATTCATATTTTCTCTAAAAAATTTAATTTTTCTTAAAAGTTCGATTTTTTCATTATATGCTTTATCACGTAATTTAAAATTTCCAATATAAAAACAAATTTTGACAAAATTTAAAATTTTATTAAAAATAATGTCTTTAATGCTTATTAAAAATTAAAATTTTTACTACTTTCAATATTATTTTTTCCAAAAATACAAGTTTTCACTCAAATTATCATTAGTAATTAAAGTTATCACTAAAAATTTAAATTTCTATCAAAAAAGTAATTTTCACTAAGAATTAAAATTTAAGTAAAATTCGTATTTTAACTAAAAGTTATAATTTTCACTTAAATTCTTATTTTAACTAATATTAAAATTTTCTTTAAAATTAACATTTTATTTTTACCAAAAATTTTATTTTAAGTTAAAGAAATTATTGGTGTTACAAATTGCAATACTTTTTTCTTCTTGGCAACACTTAAAAACATCTGATAAGATAAACACACAAATCAGCCGCTGTCATCTTAACCCTCAAATGACATCATAAAATTTCAACAAAAACACAAAATCATAGAATCTTAAAACACTAAACAAAATTTATTTATTAAAAATACAAATAAATACAATCAAAAAGCACAAATATGGAAACAAAGCCAGTTTGGTGTATCCTTGGCTCGGGAGGACATACAGCTGAAATGTGCATAATACTGCAAGGACTACTGCAAAAGACCAAAGATCTCAACAACTATAAACCCATGAAATTTCTTGTGGCAAATACAGATAAAACTTCCAAGGACAAAATACAATTAACAATGGATGAGTTAAAACAAAACGTCAGCGAAGATGATTTTATTTACATACCACGAGCACGAGAGGTAGGTCAGAGTTGGTTTACCACAGTATTTACATTTCTTTATGCTCTGGTCTGGAGCTTTTGGTTGGTTTTTAAAGAGAAACCCCGCTTAATATTGTGCAATGGGCCCGGCACTTGTGTACCCTTTTGTATAGCCGGCTTTCTCTCGAAGCTGGCACGAAGATCAAAAACAAAACTGGTGTATGTAGAAAGTTTTTGCCGTGTCCATGAGATATCGATGTCAGGCCGTATACTCTTGCCCTATTTGGATGTTATGATTGTGCAGTGGGAACCACTGACGAGAATTGAATATTTGGGTCGTAAAAAGATAAAATATTTTGGAAACATTTTGTAAATGTTGCGGCCAAATTTTATAAAAGTTAGAAATCTAAGATATTAAGAAAAACACAAAGGATTTTGTTTATAGCAAGTAAATTTAAAGGAAGGCGATTAATTGTTACTGATAATTGTTATTGATAGGAAAATTTTATAAAATTTTGTTCTTTTACATATTTTGTTATCGTAACAAAATACAAGTAATTTTTTTCTAAACACTTTGTAAATTTGTTCCAGCACTTGCTTCCTTTATTTTCTTTTCAATTTCGGTAATGATTAATAAAGCGAAAGAGACTAAAAATCTATTAAAATTTAAAACACTAAGCACATAATTAAATTATTGATATTTTATTTTATTATATTAATTACAAAATAAGCAATAATTCCATGTTAAAGAATTCGAAAAAATAACAATTTTTATAAAAGATACCAAATATTGTTATAGCAAACTAAACAGAAAACACATTTTGTTAATATTTTTATATTATAAAACATACAAGAAACAAGTAGATTTTAAGAAAAGAAAACTTAAAAAAATATAATAAAATATAAATGTAATAAAAAAGTAAAATTTGCAAAGCCTCCTTCAGAGTTGGAAAAATTCTTAAAATCATTTACCTAAACACTCATCCAAATGATCATTCATTTCGGACTCTTCCACCTCGCGCGCACATACCGGACATTGCCGTGTTGTTTTATAAATACTACGTTGGCGATAGAGTCGAGTGTTTTCATCTTCGGATGAAGAATTTAAATCAACTTTTGTTGTTTTCGTAGACGTTGACTTCTTTGAGTTGGGTGAACGTTTTATTCCAGCTCTTTGTAAAAATTCCAATTCATCATCATCTTCTTCCATGCTGCTAGCAGAAGCAATACGTTCCAAAACATCATCAGAATAGCCAGCATTCCTTAAAATATCTTTTGTAGATTTTCGTGAAGGACGTGTCTGCCTTTTAGGTCTAGCCTCTTTGGAGATGGCCGATAATTTTTTCATCGCTTTTTTCGGTGGTAAAATCTTAATGGCTATACCAGTACAACCATTCAAATGTTCTGCCATTACAGCTCTAGTCATTTTTTCAAGACATATGGGACATGTTATTATATCATAACCCTCATCAAATTGATGACGAGATGAGGTGGGTTGGCAATCATTTTCCCTCTTGAATTCTTTCATTAAAGTATCCTCCCCAAAGAATTCATCTATAACACTGGTGTCTGCCAATTCAGAGACTATAGTAAGATCTAAATTCTGTCCCGCAGTATCATCATATTCGTCATCGATTAGCTCTATGTCATCGTCACACAAATTTATAGACTCATCCATTATTTCTTTCTTAATCATGGTCTGACGTTGATCGAGTGTCATGTTTCTATTAATTTTCGGCTTTGTAATGCATTCCGAATCTGAATCATCTTCATCATCAGAGGATAAAGTTATAACTTTATTTGTTTGTTCCTGCAGCATGATATCATCGTCCACAACAATCCAATCATTTTTATTCGATGAAGATTTTTCATCGGCCACAAATATAATATCGTGTGTGTCACGCGACTCAGTTGAAATACGTCTACGTTTCGAATCACCTTTAATAATCGATGAAATTTTAATATTTTAAAAGCGTTTCATGTTTGCAATTTGGTAGTTAATTATAATAGATCCAATTAAACCTCTCTGCTACTTATTTGCTTCCAAATAATTTCGTTTAAAAACTTTTTTTTACAATATATGTCCTTTGAAATTTCGAACATACATATCTTAAAATGACTATATTCTGGAACAACTCTTAAAAGTGTTCGATTAAAATTTAAAATTTTCTATATTTTCTTTTTAATCCTTCCGACTTTTCCAACAAAAGTTTGAATTATCGAATAATAGTTTCAACTTTTAAAATTGTTCGACCTGAACTTAAATTTTCTATATTTTCTTTTTAATCCTTCCGACTTTTTCAACAAAATTATAAATAATAATAGTATAAATTTTCGCACAAAAGGTTTTTAGAACTCAGATATTCTAACTATTAAAATCATCAAATTCCACAAAAAAAAATGGATTTTCTGCTCCAATTTTTTACTAAACTCGATCTAACAGTATAACTCGATATTTTGATTAAATAATATATTATTTAAGATCCAACTTTGGATTTTACGAGAAACCCGAAAACTCTCAATTTTAAAAACATTGAACTTATTCTATTCAAAAATATTTCGAACTTATTTTCAATTATCAAGCAGTTGAAATAATCTTAACTATGGCTTTAATATATGAATAAAATTTAAAGGACTACATTCTATGCACTCACCTTGAGGTTTATCATTATTATAATTGTTTATTTTATCCCCAAATCCACCACTACCTTTTCCTGAATCATTACCAGCCGCATTATTGCCAAAACGTTTAGACCATATATCTCTTAAATGTTTACGATCAACTTCTCCTTCAGGACTAGACGATATAGACGTGTTACTTGTGCCATAAGATGACGAAGTTAGTGTACTACCCCGACCCCAATCTTCACGACTGATTGTTGTTGGCTTGACACCAGAAACAGGACGTCCGCTATTGCCATTACTATTACCAGAACCTAAACCACCTAAATCTCTAAAGCCCATAACATTGCGTAGATTACCACCCGGAGGCACAACAGCTCCACGTGTTAAGCTATTATTGCGACCACCGGAGGAGGTTGCAGGCGATGAACTAACATTAAATGGATCTGTTGATAGGCCAGGATATGAGGATGGTGGAAACGCTTTGGCAATGTCAGAAGTAGCTGGTGGTTTTGTATTAATGGTAGTAGATGATTTTGTTTTTGGGTTTAATAACATAGTACCACCACCATTTGTTTTAACCGGTCCTAAAAGGGAAAACAGGAAAGGTGTGTTGTTAAGATGAGGGGGGTAAGTTTGAAAATGTCAATTTTAAAACACGAACCTTTAAAGCCATTGTTAAAATTATTAAAACCCTTGATATTCGCTAAAGTTGAGCTGTTAGAACCTGATTTGGGAAGAGCAGTGCTCTTAGTTTGTGGTGTAAAGAACTTACGTAAATCATTACCAGCTGGTGCAGATGGGTTTTTATCATTTTCCTTATCTTTGGCAGCTCGTCCCTTTTTCTTTTTCTCTGGCTCTTTTATTTTCATAAAAGTACCGCCACAATTTTGTAAATGTGTGGCCCACCACTGATCATTTGGTCCGGGAGCACGATTCGAAGTACGCTTTACATAACCGAAGAAAGGTGAACGATCCTGGCAAATGCCATTACAACGCCACCAATGCTGCTTATACAATTCGACCTCATCATGGAAGGTGTGATAGACGGTGATATTTGTGCCAGCCACTTTATTTATAGCTCCCATGATTTTCTTAAAATTCGGACCATGACCACCATTACCCTCACGTATGTTTAAAACAAAACAATATGCATGTATCATTTCATGCAACATGGTCTCAACCAAGTCCTTTCTGGGTCTCAAACTCAACAAGGGCTGACTAAGACGTATGGTTATATCCATGCCATAGCGATTCCGTCGCGAATAACAAATTCCTGCACAGCTATACATACGTTTACTCCATTCCAAGGTAACACACTTTAAACGACTCTGAAAGAATTTCGTATCGAATTGACCGAAAAGTGCAAAAATATCTGGTGTGGGATCTAGCGTCTCCCACTGAGGATGCACTAAATTTTGTGTACGATTTAGAAAATCTTCATCTAGATTCGAGTGTGGATTACTGCGTTTAATTTGTAAAGGTTTTTTTGATACCACCAGATTTGTGGAAGGTTTCTTAAAATCAATTTCTTCAATATCACTATCACCATCACCAGCTTCGGCATTCATGCGTCTTTGCATTTCCAATGCAAACAAATAGTCAGCATCATGCGACATGATCTTGGAATAGTTTTCTTTTTTACAGATGTATTAATAATGAAATCTGTTCACTGTTTAAAATTCTATGTACTACATCGATTTTTTAAATTCCCGGATAATCACAACAATAAAGAATTCTCATCAAAATTTGCAAATATTTGGCGCTTTTCACAGCTGCTTGAAAATAAACAAAACTAGTGTAGTATCCCTGCCAGCAATTTTGTAGACGACTATGAGAAAAATTCACTTCTAGTTTACGTTTACAGACTGACTATAAGTTATATACAATGTAATGCAGAGCTGTCCCGAAATTTCGTATTTGGCAACGTAAAGAACCGACTTTTACGAACTTATATCATAACTTGTATTAAAGCGAAATGTAATTTAGATAACTAGTAGTTAAATTTTAAATATATTTAATTAAAATGTAATTAATTAATACAGTAGGGAATACAAAAGAAAACTATAACTTGACTTTTCTGCAACTAACTTTAAGTTAGTTAATAAAGAGTTACCTTTAAGCTAATTTTTTAGTAACTAACTTTAAGCTAGTTGAAAAGTCATGCAGAATCGGATAATTGACTACTGCGTAGGACATCGCCATGTTAAAATAGTCAGTTGGCTCCATTAAAAATAATCCAATAATCAACCATTACTAGTTGATGAAAAAGTCGGCTTTTAATGCATTTAAAGTTAGTTGAGTTGCTGGCAGGGATACTACAAGAAATCTTTGACCGAAACTAATACATACAGAGTGATTTTACTAAAGCGACACGGCCACACATAAAATTTGTTTGACTCAAACGGTAAGTTTTTTGATTGTGTTAGTGAAAAAACTCACATGTATATGTGCGGTGTGAGTTTTTTTTTACTAAACAATCAAAAAACTTACCGTTAGAGTCAAACAATTTGATGTGTCGCCCAAAGTAAATTAATAAAGTAGCGACACGAGTTGTTGTACAACAAACGTCTACAAAAACCACAGGCAATTTGTTTTTGTTCGAAATACTCAACTGTCAAAATTTGTTTACAAAATTGAACCAATTATTAATGGAAAATATGGCATTATTGGTGCGCTTTCCAAAAATATGTTGTTATTTATATTAAAAGTCACAGAGTTTTCTTTATTTTTTAAAAATTAGAACATTTTTAAAAATATTATACACCTAAAATACACTTTTTCACATTAAATACAACAAATTACTCAGAAATTTGTACAAAAGCACGCGTTAAAATTAAAACAAATATGGCAACATAAACATTTTTGACAAGTAAGCCCACAAATAGCAAGTTTAAAAAAAATAGTCAGCTGTTCAAATGAGTCTACTTTATAAATTTACTTTGGTGTCGCCATGGCGCTTAACACACTTGGATAATTCCATCAATAATGACAGTCAAATGACCGGTAAAATGACTGTTGATGTAGTAAAGGGTTTAATTGGCATATGAAAGAGTGAAACAACTACATTTTTATTAATATATATATTAAAATCTATATTTCCATCAACAATGACAGCCAAATGACCGATCAAATGACTGTCACTGTGTTTCAGAGTTGTATTTTTCGTCGTTATAAATTCATTGTTTCTACGAAAGCCAAAGGTCAAGAAGCGAAAAATTAAAAAAATTACCAAGTCTATAAACTATTAAAAGTAAAGAGAATTATTATAAACTGATTTTAAAAAAGTGCAGGAATATGAGCTGAAGATAAACACTTTGGAGTTTAATTAATCTATGGTAACATGAATACTTACTTTTGATTTTTATATTTCGATATTTCTATGTATTTCCTTACAAACAACTAATTTCCACAAATTAAAAGGAGCATCAGAGGATTTAAGATTCTGCGAGGTATGTAAAATGGTTAAATGATTGTTAATTTATGTATATGCTTAATATATTAACAAATATATATCCGTCAGTTTTGACGGATATATATTTGTTAACTGTGATGGATATATCCATCAAGCATGATCAGTCAATCGTGACTAATATTTATATCATCCTTGATTACTAAACATCAAAAGAGTGAGCAGCTCAAATATATGTGTTAAAGTCGATAGAATTCATAAGAGCGAGAGTGATGCAAAATCACATGTACACAAAAGTTTCCATCACTTTTTACATATTGCCCTTAAGAAACAGATAGAAACTTTTGATGGATATTTTCATCACTGTGCCAGTCAAATGACCGGCCAAATGACTGTCACTGTTCTTTTAGGGCAGTGAATGAAAATTTAAAATGGAGTATTTTCTGGTACTTCGAGGTAACACTGAGTACAAATGTATGCAACTCTGTTTTCTAATACTATATTTTACAGTCATTAATTAAATTGTCGAAAATAATCAATATTAAAAAAAAACGTAAGAAGAACGTTTATCAAAGTGATAGAAGAAAAATTAAATTTTGTTGCAAATTAAACCAAATTAATATAAATGGAAGGTCTTGTAAATTATAGTAGCGAAGATGAACAAGACGATTATTCCTATACAAAAGTGGTAAATATAAAATTAGTTACTAAGTAAAAGACATAAAAATATGTTAGTTTGCAAACGAGAAAAAAAGATGGCTGACTACTAGGAAAATCTCCTTAGTGTAGAGAAAAAAGAAAATACATACTAAAAAATTGGATATTTTTAGGGAAAGAAAAAAATATTTCAAAAACAGAAGTTATAGAAATTTTGTTATAAAATATTAGTTTGTACTTTTAAATAACACCTTATTTGCTGTTTCTGAATAGTTGCCAAATTCCTTTAGGCTGTACGAGAACGTGGTAGCGGCGGTAGTGGTGCTAGCACCGGACGAACTGCCGATGCCAGTGGATCGTTGAAACGTTCCTATGATCATCACTCGAAAAGTGGCAGTTGCGAACGTGATGTCTCACCCCATCGCAACAAAGGCGAACAACGTTTCAAAACAGGAAATAGCAATTTCAATGAGGTAATAATAAATTTTATGTCAAATTTTTTATTAAATTTATTAAATTGCTTCTTATATGGTGTTATTAGTTAAAAATATGTACATATACATTCTATGGAAGTTGTTACAGTGTCTTCGGTGTTAGGAGAACCACATAGAATGTTTAGATGTTATTTTTGGTTTTTGAAATAGATCAACATCAGCATAGAACAAGTGTTAGATGTCAATCATTTTGCTATGTAACTAGCAAGTTTTATTTCAGTCGAAAATTTATTTTTTTCATACAATTTTTGTTTGAAATTGAAATTTTATTGTTGTGTTGATATAGTGCTCTAATAAAGGAAATGGTAATTTAAAAGTATCTGCTTTTTGACTTTTTTTAAGTTTTCTTTTATAAATTTTCTAATCATTTCTAAAGCAAAAAATCGCTTAACTTTTACATACACCGATTATCTGATAGTTCCAATTTAAAATTCGAAAATGTCGAATGTTACTTAAGAAGTTAAATAATCCTATCAATCATTAGGATTTATTCAAATTTAAAACCAAAGGGTGTCCTATTCGTTGGAATTTTATATAATTTTTATCTATTTTTTCACAATCCTATAGAAAAGTTACTCAGAGCAAATTACGTATCATTTCCATTGAAATCCATCAAAGTTAGCCTATGTATCGATTTAATTTTTTTAACTTAAATAATGATTTTAAACAAATTTCAACTATATTTTGAAAATTTTAAGAGGTTTCATTTTGAAAAAAGTAGTAGATGTCTTATGTTGAAGAAATGGAATTCTGTGATAGGATTTATAAAATAAAAAATATTAAAATTCGCACACAACGTCTGACTTAAAAGAACTATGTATTGTGAAAATATAACGAGATATATGACCATCAAACATGCTTTCGACGTGTTTGCAATTTCATATATAACAATGATTTCAAGAAAAACTGTAAATTATTTTCTCCAGCAAACCTTTTATTAAATAACTTTTACAGTTTGATACAAAACTTTGTTTATGGAAAAATTTGATTTCAATATACAAATTCAACTCGTCTAAATTTATCTTAAGTGATATTTTTCTCATTACGATTTTTCTTATTGGTCAAATCCAAGTTGAAGCCTAAACGAAACTTATTAGAAATACATTTTATAATTTTTTGACTTATTACATTCTGTAAAATCGCATTAAGATCTAGATTATTAGCTACTTTCTCTATTGATGGTATGTTTATCAAACTTTGCTGTATTTTAGATCGTAAAGTTAAAAATAATATGTTTTGAATCTTAATTTCCTTTTCATACCTAAAAATTTACCAACAAATTTGAAAAAAGCTATTATTATTTTCAAGTCCATTGTGTTTTGTTGTAGCTGTTAAATTCTGATAAAACTTTTCGTTTAGGGATTTATAAAACTCTCGTATATTTATTTAAAATATTATTCATTTTTTATTGTTGTTTTATTTAGTTTTACTCATTTTTACATTATTAATTAAATATCAACTTTTGTTATTATTATATTATATAAACCAAAAAACCAAAAACAAAAAAGAATACAAACCTAAAGTTTTTATACCATAAAAAACTCAACCTAAAAAGATTTCCAAAAAACTACTACCGATCACCATATAAAAAGTTGTTACAACATCACTACAACTCTATGTAGAAAGAGTTAGAAATATGATTGAAAAACTATCACATATCAATTATCAATTAGTAGCCGCAATGTAACACAATACAGGCTTTATATGTATAAGTCGCCTGACCAACTCCTTCTCTACGTCCCTCTAAAATGATTCAATGATTAGTAGGAGAGTCTTTGAATTGAAAAAATGCAGCTCTTAAACGTGAGTATAATTAATTTAAGTTTTAATAACACTTCTATGAAATTCTTTTGCAGACGTTTGTTTTTATCTTAAAAAAATAAAAACAACAATTATTTATTTCATTTTATATAAAATTAGTATTTTTCAAAAATAATAAAAAAGGTAAAGGAGTAAAACTAAATTTTAAATTTTTTTTGTTTATCTTTAGTATTTTACTAATAGTATTTTAAACACAAAAGGTTTAGCATAGTTTTTTAAATTGATATATAAACTTTGCTCTTTTGCAGCTGGAGTTATTAACATTTTCAGTATTCTTGCACTAACATTTCTCTTACAGGACAAATACAAAATCGACAGAAGAGCTGACAAATCGAGAGATCACAGAGATAAAAGAGAGAGTAAAGAATCAAGAAATACTAGAGATTTAAGAGATGAAGGCAGAGATAATGATCACGGTCATAAATATGATTACAAAAAGGTATATACATAAGTCTGAGATTTACAATACATAAACATGAGCTTATTTTTTTTTAATTTTTGCAGCATGACGATCACAAACGTTATAGAGAACCAAAAGGAAGGGACTATAAACGTGATGGTAACGATTATTACCGGGACGATAAAAGATATAATCGTTATGATGATAGAAAATCATCATATGCCTCCACAAACTGTAAAGATCGTTTCAATAATTCTAAATCTCGTTATGACGAGAGAAAACAATATGATGATCATCGTTTCAATGATGAAAGAAGAACAACAAATGAAGAGAGACGTGGTGGTGGAAGCAGTTTAGGTTCCAATTTTGATGATCGAAGAAGAGGAGATTTTAGTGACAGACGTAATTATAATAATGATGATGACCGAAAAACGGATCGCCGTAATAATGATGATCGCAGAACACAACGTTCCTACAATGAAGATCGTTCAAATGCATATCGCCCTAGACGTTCAAATTCTCCATCGCTTTCACAGCGTAACAGTAGCAATAATAAATATAGTGAACGTAAGGATGACACCAGACGTGAGCGCAAACGTCACTCACGATCTCGATCTCGTTCTCGTTCAAACTCGGCCGATAATTTGAATGAATCTAATTTAGCGCCAAATAACAATAATTCTACACAGAGAACGGCTGCAAATGAACTCGCTACAGAAGTCAAACGTCCAGAGGTAGGAGAATCACAAACATCGGAAAAGAAACCTCTACCTTCAGCTCGAAATTTTGAAGCTCTTTTATCCCTGCCACTTAGTGAAAATGCACCTAAACATCCTAACGTTGTTACAGTACCTGCGGTCAGTGCTGCTGCAGCTGGTTCAAATGTGGCAACTGCTACTGTACAATTGCCCAGTTATTATAATCCAAATGTCATTAATCCTAATAAGTATGTTGAACAAATGCAAAAACGTAAACTCATATGGGGAGCGAAAAAAACCGAAGATTCAGCCTCCAAATGGGGTCATGCCCAATTCTCGCAGGATCAAGATGGCAAAGTTGCCTCAAAATTCATGCGTCTTATGGGCATTAAAAGTACAACTGGTAGTGGAGGCGGTAGTGATTGCACTACTTCACCAAATGAAAGTGAAAAAAAGTCCCCGATATCTACCTCCCCTTCGAATAGTACCGATGTTAAATCTCGTGAAGCCATGTTTTCTTCAATGGAACAACAATATGAAGTAGCACGTCAGGTTACACATACTATGAGGGGCGTTGGTTTAGGCTTTGGTTCATCGAGACCTTATTAAGTTGCCTCGCCCTGGACCCTTAACTAAAATAAAGAATTAAATGCGAATTTTAAAGTTTTTATTCTTTAAGGCCTTATTTTGTAAATTGAACGTTTGAAAATTGGAAAAAAATATTTCAGTATTCTTTTTCTATTTAGTTAAAGAAAGCGTTACATTTTACAAAATGAGAATATTTATTTCATCAAACAAATATGAATTTTGTTAATGTGTGTATAAGTTTTACATTAATTTTATTTAAAAAAACAAAAATGTAAACAATATTCTAGTTATCCTGAATTTCAAAATAAATAAATGAGAAATGTGTATTAATTTAAAATGTTGTGTAAATTTATTACAAGTTAAAATCAGTTAAAGGCTAATTGGATATGAGTCCGCAGTAATGAGTTTAGCAAAATTAAGGCGAATCATGCCAGCTTTCTGGAGAATAATTTTATTAGTGATGAGTTTAATTATATTAATTTTATTAGTGATTTGGCATTATACCGTTCGCATTCTAAATTTATATGGAATTTGGTTTGATTTCTTGAATTTTTTACCAAGGATATCTCTTGATTCAGTTCTAATCAGATTGTAAATATAATTAAATTTTGTTTGTGAATTTCCCTAATTAATAGGAATCTGTAGGGGGTAATTTTAAACCATCGGAATAATAAGGTTTTAAAAATTACATAAAAATGTTTAATCCGATTTTATTTTTTTAAGTACAATAAAAAGACAAAATCTTCTACTATTTAAAAAGTATGTACCCCTCTATACGAATTTGAAGTATTAGGAACTGAATTTAAAGTTAACAAATTTGAGACCAAAAGTCGGATAACATTTTAAAATCATTTTTTTTTTTTTTGGAAAACTGACGATTTCTGGGTATATTAGATTAAAATTTTAAATATGGTGTGAAATACTCTACTAGATCTAAAACTGCATTATTTCACTTGGAGAGTGCTATTAATTCGCTGGACTTTGGCTGAATTTAATGTCAATAGCAAGTTTTAATCAACTCGCCTTAAACCTAATTAATTTATTTTAAAATTTATTTCTTAAATAAATTATATTCTTTACTTGTGTTTTAAAAAATTTAAATAAATTAATTATAAATAAATTTCCCACTGTATACTTTACAGCGGTTGTCATTCCAAAACAACTAATGCAAAATCAACCGCTTTATTTTGTATTTTCTCCAGACCAGCTGTTGTTGACACAATAACAACAACAACATAATATCAAAATAATAAATACAACACAAAAATTCTATTTTGCCAAGTTGTCATCATCCCCAAAAAAATAATAAGAAAATTTTGCCTAATTTTTTTTACATAAAATAATCTATATATTTTAAATAAACAAAAGAAAAAGTGTATGTGCAAAAAGTGTTTGTTGCAGTTGTAGTGTTCCAAAATGTCTTGGTTAAATAATAGTTTAAATACGATAAAGGGTCAACTGACGACATTGGCCCAAGAGATTCTTGAAGAAACTGCAGGTCCTGGCGATGCCGAATATCATCGCAGTGCCACACCAACGGTAGATAATAGAACTGCCATAGAAATATTGGCCGATACGCAAAAAGATAAAGAAGATTTAGATAAATTGTGCTCTGAAAAAGATATTGAGGTAAGAGTTGGGATTGAAGAAGTGTGATGTGTGTGCTGCATGCATTGAGAGAAAGAAACGTTGTATATACACTCAACTGCATCTAGTATAGATAGAAATTTCGATTTTTTACCAATTGTTTGTGTAAAATGTTAACTTTTTTATTCCAAAAGGAAGTAACATGTTTTTGTTGTCCAACATTACAACACAACTCCTATTTTAATCGATTATTACACTACTTCCCATTTGCTAGTTAAACCTTTTTTATTAATGCTTTCAAGCTGCTAATAAAATTAGCAAACAATAGTGTAAAGTTGTGCAATTATTACTAGGATTATGCCCCTCCTCCGTCGTTTTGTCATTACAACATCAAGGTCATGAAAAATGGTCATAAATAATGATAATTTTTGTAAATTGCATCCTTACAAGTCTTAATAAATATGTACATACGTATGTACATATGTATGTATTTTATATTTCTATTGCTTGTATGCTGGAGAAATTTTCTTTAATTTATGATTAAAATCATGCATGCTTGCATTAATTTACGTGTTTTCGTTGCGGTAAGTTTACATTTTATTAATTGTAAAACTTTGTGGTTTTTGACCAATATTCATAATAAAATGTATTACTTAATATCGCCTTAATTTTAGTTTGAATTGCAATATTTTTCACAATACATACATACATATGTATATATTTGAGGTTTTATTTTAAACTTGGGATTTATTTACTCAAAATTCCTTTACATAATGTAAACATATTCTAAGAAAAATATGTACATATGTATGTATATATGTATGTATGTATTTTTGAACTTGAAGGCGATAAAAATATTTTTTCTGCGAGTCATTAGATTGGCTTTATATAAAAATTTCAAAATATGACGTGTTAAAAAAAGAATGGTCTCAATTGCGCAAATGGCGTCAAATGCGCCAAAATAAACAATTGGACTCCGTTATCTCACCAATGTTGGATATGAAGTATCTGCTAAGGAAACTGTTTCTCTTAGCGGATAGAGAGGGGCATTCCCTGTCTTTTCAACTGCGACAGTATTAATTCAAGGAGAGCCCAAGCCGTAATGCATGTCTGCCTAGTACCTAGCTCCCGGTTTTTACTGATATTAACATTGATATATCCCAACTATTTCTGGTTATAAGGTGTCTTGTACATTTAGCATTGAAAGAAGTTCGCAATAACTTGGTTCCCCCATTTTCAGCCTTTTAAAGAAAGTATACTGCTTTTGATAAAACTTAACGGGTTTGCTACTGAAATTGCGTTGCTTATATGTATTTAATGTTAGATCCAAGCTTTAGATTAGATATCTTAAAGATGCCTGCAGTTTTGACGGAGATTAAACTTTTATCTTTAAGATGACCAATTGGACTTTCAGATGTCATGACAGATTTATAATGATATAACGACTCAAATATAGCGAAAAACAGGATATCTCAATAGCCTGATGTGATGGAGAAATTCTGAGCTTTCTGAGGATATGGATTTAGCGATTCTCAATCCTTTAGAAAAGTATACTTTGGCCCCTGGGTTAAAAATTTGCTGTCCTGTGTGATTATGGATTTACTATGGAAAATTAAAGACATTGAAGCGATATAGTATACTCACAATTGGGACGAACGACGAATTTTTCGGAACGAATATTCGTCGTCAGAAATAGAACACACTTGGGTATATGAAGATGTACACAATCATTGCGTATGACGTAATTCGTCGTACGTAACGAATTGTGCGATAGGTTTATTTCTATTTCTTACGCAGACGAACGACGAATTAATTGGGGAAAATTGTTTTAAAACCAATTCCGGTAGCCCGAATTTGCTGAAATTTTGCGGTTGTGGGTACAGCTAATGACAATACAATATTATGTTCGAATATTCGAAATTATATTCGAAAATTCGAAGTTATGTTCGAAATTTTTTTTATGCTCTTAAAATAATCTCTGGGTCATAAAAACTAAAAATAAAATTTTGAAGCTGTTAAAATAATCTCAAAATTGGGCATATTCACAAAAATATAATTTTAGTTCTTTTCGAGCCCAATTTCCTACATTTTCTAATTTCGAAATAATGTTCGAATAAATTTTAAAGCTGTTAAAATTATCTCAAAATCGTGGAGATTCACAAAAATATAATTTTTGTTCCTTTTTCTTACTTTTTTCAATTTCGAACAAACAAATTTTGAAACGAATTCGCAGTACGAATAATTTGATTGTGATCCATTCGACGAATTTACGCAACGAATTTTTGTCGATTAGTTTGTCGTGCTATACGAAATTCGTCGTTCGTCCCAATTGTGCGTATACCAATAGGCAAGAAATAGACATATGTATATGAAAAAATAAAAAATATATTCAAATATAGACCTGATCCTCATAAAATTTTCAACAGCCTTTGTCTATGTTGCAACAAAAGATCATACACCAAATTTTGTTGAATTATCTTTAAAAGTTTTAATGTTGTCTATTTTATAAGTCGTTTAATAGAATTGTCCAAATATGTTATTCCTATTCAAAACCACATAAAGGGTTGCTAGCAAATCCCACTATGTACATATATTACATATATTTTTATATAAGTCTTGAATAAATTGTTTTTTTCCAAGGAAAAACTTTCAGATATCTTTTCTCTTATGTAGCACTTTCAACACAAATAACATACTTAAAGTACAATTTTGGAAAACAAATTTTGAATTTGAATTTTACATTAGTTTTTTGAATTTTATTCACCTATTTTGCTAATTTTTATCAGATATGACGAAAGTATATCTGATAGATGTATTAAAGACATTGAGCCCGCTGATATCTCAAGTTTTCAAAAAAATTCAGTAAATATTTGAACTGATCCTTCTCATAAAGGTGAATGCTAAAAATATGAAGGAGAAGTACTTTTAAGCTATACACTTTAAGGTACACAAAAGGCCTATTTTGGATAAAAGTTTGTGTGTTCATTTGAAATACATATTTGCCAACTAAATATTTTAATTATTACTACTTAAAATTTTTTTATACACTCCTAAAACTATGCTCTGTAAAATTTTAAATGTGAAAAAAATAATATTGAAATCAATATTGCCAGAAAATGTTTTGAAAAATCAGCACCCCCATAAATTATCCCTTCATCAACTAAGTTTTTTGCCTACCTTTTTTAAGAGAATTTTGTTTTTTGTTCATAAATAAAATTCAAAAACAACAGGTAAAAAGTAAAATTATGTTTTCCAATTGAAAATAGAGATTGTGTAGAATGGGAAAACCAAGAAAAAAATATTAAAATAAAAATTTTGGTGCATTTGTTGTTGCATTTTTATTATTTTTCATCAGAATTTGCACGTCAATAAAGTATTTTGCATATTGAAATTTCCAGTTAATTTCGTTGGGTTTTTCAAATTATTTTTTAATTGCTTTTTGGAATTTATTGTTTTATTGTTAAAAGGACTCGTGTTAAGTATTTTTCAATGCATATGAGGTAGAATATCAAGATTCTAGCATGTAATAGTTCTATAGTGGTAAACGGTGATATCCCCATACTTAGAGTGGCTAGGATGGTACTTAGTGTTAGCTTTATTGAATAAGAATCAATATTATACAATTCTAAATGAAATTCACACAGTACTCCCCAAACAGATGGGGTTTCCGTAATGTAGTTTTTGTTTATCAATACAAAATGACCAAAAACCCAGATTATATTTGTTATAATCTATAGATTTATACCCCACTAAAATTTTTTTCTAGGTCCAAATCCATTGATTTCCTAATATATCATGTATCCAATTCAAAATTACTTATTATTTTCGAAATTAAATCAAAGAAACGATAGATTTCATGTTAAGTCAAATATTGAAAAATTCTTATAGGTATATAGGATAATAAATCGGTTAAGAAATGTCCAAACTTAGTCGTTCCACTACTAAAATATCTAAAAATTGTTATTCTAATACATAGGAGTAATAAAAATATTAAATTTTATAAAATAATGCAGCAATATTAAAAAAATGAACAAAAAACCTAAAAAAGCAAAATACTTTATTGACCTTAAAAATTAACAATACGTTCACGTTTTAAAATATAAGATATTCTTTAAAAAGTACAACAAACAAATTGCTTTATTTTGCTAAAAATAATTGTTCAGAAAAAGTTTTTTTCTTAAAATTTATAAAATTTTACATAGGCGAATTACTTAATTGATTCACTGTCATATGTCAAATTTTGTTGATATTTAAACTTAAAATATGTACAATTATTCATTGTAATCTTCTTTAGAGATTTACAATCAAAATATCATAGTAAGAAGTAATGCATAATGTGAAAGGAATGTGTCCAACTGATTCCAATTTATGTTATTCAAATTAAAATAAAATCAAGCAAGAGTGTTAAATACTGCTATGTTTAATTTAATATAATTCTTACTATAGCATATTGATATATTGACGCTTTAAATTAAAAATAAGAGAAAAAACTTTTTTTCTTTCCAAAATTGAAAAATAAAATAATGCAATATAATTTTATTAAATCTCCGATTTCTTTTGCAGATTTTGGCACTTCGCAAACAGATTGAAACTTTACAAAATCAAATAAGTGACACTGGAGGAGGTAGCAGTGGTAATACAACAAGTGGAGGTGCCAATAGTGGACGTACTTCAAAAACGGTAAGTTATATTTGGCTTTTATTTAAATAATCAACGAAATACTTCTTTTTAAATAACTGTTCCAGTTGAGGTTTGATAAAATTAAACTGAAAATATATTTTATATTTATAACGATTTTAATAAATATGGAATTAAATACATAAAATTTTATTAAAGAAGAATATGTATTTATTTACATTTTGATAAAAAAAAAATGCAACGTGTGCAACGTATAAATGTTTGTTGTTTGTTTGACAGAGTTTTCTGTTTACAATCAAATGCATTTTCAAGATAATCGTCTGTTATCAAAAGATAACAATATTTGATGTAATATACATATTTATGTTGTATGCTTATAAAAAATATTATTCATATTATACTTTAAAGTTTTATTTTTTACCTGTCAATAAGCACATATTATTCAGCTTTTTAGGAATTGATTCATTTTGGATTGAAGCAATACATTTGAACATATTTTATAGTATCAAAAAACTGCCTTTATTCAGTTCAACCATTGGTCAGGAGAAGAACAAAAGTATTTCAATTAAATAGTAAAGAAATCATTATTTTATACTTCTGGTGTCGGAAGGCATTTACTGTGAATTTGTATGTTTAATTTTTTTTCATTATTTCCAAAAATATTTGAATTATGCACATTTTTGGAATAATGATTAGGCCTACTTGAAAAAAAAAACGTTTTCGTTTGTATCTGTCATTTTTTTCGGATTTTCTATTTGCTTTTTCGCTCTTATTTTAACAATATAATGTTTATCATTATTCGTTTTCTGTTTGTTCATTTTGTTTTATATTTTTATTTACTTTATTGCACACTCGTACAATAAAATAAAAATCCTACATTTATACCAATTTTTCTTTTTTCGGTTACAAACTCACATTTATCTGCCATAAAATATGGTCGTCATTTAATTCAGAGAATAGCACATTTGATTAAATTAAACTTTATCGAAAGGTTATCCGTTCGAAAATGTATTTTGTAACCAACTGTACTGCAAAGAATATGTCATAATATGAAATGTTAATTAGTTTAATATAATGAATGATAACAATTTTATTTTTCTGATTTTTATTATATTGCATGTTCAATAGTTTTATTGGTTAAATGTTATAGTAGTAGTTATTAAAGATTTGTTGAATTATTCGAAATATGGACTTGTATGTTGCAAACTTTAAAATATTCAAACTAGTGATTATAAAAACATTTTGAATATTTTATAATAAACATTGTTGAAAGTTTAAATAAGTTTCTTTTAAATGTTTTTCCAATCATCTGTGATACACCTCAAACTCCTTGAAATATCTGTAGAAGTGATGCTTTTGTCTTTTATGTTGGGAGTAAATAAGAGGCATACCACCGCTTCTTCCGTTCCCTAAATAAAGAGAAACTAGATTCTTTACATCCATTTGAATTTTTACGTAAGACCGATAATGTGGTAATTGTCTCATGCCGTATATAAACTCAACCTCCAACGCATGCTATCCAAGTTAAGAGTGGCTGATTGATATTACCTGGTTTTACCAGTCTGAAAATTCAACCCGAACTCCTTCAAATATCTGAGTAGACGCTATGCTTTTGTCTTTTATGTAGGAAGAAAATACCTCCATATAGTTGAAATGGTAATAGAAGAAAAATAAATAAAAATTTCAGTATCATGCTCTGCACTCTAGGACATAAAATATTTCTCATTGTGTCTAGTTCCACTTCGTCTTCAACGACTCAATTTCTTGCGAATGCTGGAATTGAGCTGTGACGGGTTATTATTCTCACTAGAGTGCCTATACTCTTCCAATCTAATCGTAATAGTACTCAAGTTGCTTAACCTCGGACAGAATCCTATAGTCGTGAAAGATAGGAAGTTTTACCATCCTATCTGTTCTATTAAGGTCCAGATCCGAACCCTGCTTGACCCCAATTTCATTATAATAAAATGAAAAAATTAAAATGAGAATGAAAAATCTTTGAAAGCTCAAGGTTCGGACAGGTTTAAAAATGGCATAGAATAATGCGTTCCAAATCTGAACCCATTAGAATCTAATGCAGAATCCCTTCACCCTAGACATTCGGGTAGACTTTCGAATTGAATTGTCTCTGAAGCAGGACATTAGTGTGTAGATGTAACATAGACTTTAGAGAACACCCTCTCTGCGGTCTCGGAAATTTATTGCTGAGGAGGGCTTGATCATGGAACTTTCCAAGACGCTAATAGCGGAAAAGTGTGATATTTAGGTTTCATAATAGAAACACAATGAGTAAAAGCTTAGATTCGTTAACCTGGGCTTTACGACAGCGTTGGATCATCAATTTGATGATAGTAAGAATCCAGATGTACATTCTATAGCAGGATATAACCCTTGGTTGTTTTATGATTTCATTCGATAAAATAAAGCTAAAAACAAATGTTTGAAGACACTTCATAAGAAGCGTGCGAAAAATGTACTTTCAGAATAAAACATATCGAGGGACTATATTCAATAGTCCCTATCTAAAATAATACAAGTTTTCAGGAGAGCAAAAAAACTGTTTATTTCGCTAGTTAGTGAAGATTTTTTAATTTTTTCTTCTACAATATATTTCTACGACCATATACTAAACCCTTATATAAAAAGAATTTTAAATTTTGCATTATTTGCAAAATTATTCACAAATTTATATCAGATAGAGCTTATTTTTCTACGAAAATATTCATTCAACCAACAGAGTTTTTCATGGAAATATAAAATTTTTATTTGAATTAAAATCAATAAATATTATATTTTATACAATTTAATGGAGGAAAATAAACCAAATTGTTGAAAAAGCAACAGATTATAATGTTTTGGTCCAAAATCAAAGTTATATGGTTAAACACGACAATAAAATTTATTTAATTAGTATCATAATGAGCGATATCTCAAAAACTATTAGACCGATTTTAAACATATTGACGGATTTGTGTTCAGCATGTCCAAATTATTAAGAAGACTTGTTTTGCAACAGAAAATCATCCAAAGGGATAGAGTTTGAAGCAATTTTTGGATAAGATAGAGAGTTTTGCATTCAGAATTTTTCTTTTTTTAAGATAGAGAAATTTAAAAAAAGCTATAAAATTGCCAAAAAATATTTTTTTTCTTTGAAATTTATATTACTGATGCGGGATAGGTTGCTGAATATTTTGCCATCAAAATCTCATTTTCATAAAAATGACAGATAGCGACTATTGAATATAGTCCCTCGATATAAAAAATTCAACTATAAAATTGCTCTTGTATAACTAACAGATTGATTTTTGTTAAAAAAAAAGTAATATTTCTTCTTCCTACGACAGTGAAAGAACATATTATTTAATCGTTTCATTTGGACGATTTAATTACATATCAATTTAATTATAAATTCTTTTTCAGAAACCACATAAATAACTTTAAAAATGTTCATGCGTCCCCATTTTGTTCTATATATTCTTTTTTTATCTTAAATAATGCTGATAGAAACCAAATTTTATTATCTTTAAAAACCACCCTAATTAATGTCTATATTTTGTTTATCATATTTGATTGTTGCTGTTGTTATTATAACAATTTCATTAGTTCAAAATGCAAATCATGTCCTACACTCTTTCAACAGGATTTTTATCTCCCTCAATGTGTATATGAGAATGTAAATTCGATAATATTGATTGATCTTATCTTACCAACATTTAACACTATCTATATATTTATCTATTTAGTCCATATTGTGTTGTCACAACATCTATCACCTGGTCTAAAAAAAATATGGGTGGGTGGGGGATATATTAGTAATAATATTTCTCCCCCATTGCAGCTTTTTCTTTGGACGCTGTGGGTATATAAGTGGCTTCACTGACTAGATTATATTCATTTGTATATTTTGAACTCTGTCATAGTGAACCTGCATAAAAGTGTATTACATAAATTACTTGCAATTTAAATAGTTTTTTTTGTTAATTTTTTTCTTATATTAATTGCTGTTATACATTTAATTTTTTGACCTGAATTAGTGTAAATTTATTTGTATACGTTGTGTTTTATTTTCGTTCGTTTTTTCTAAAGAAACGTGTTAAGCATTTTAAACACTTGTTGAAGGGAAATTTATTTATCTAAATTCAAATTTAAATATTTGTTTAAAGCTGTTTTGTTGGCGGAAGTTACACATAATGTTGTCGTTGTAATAAAGATAAGAAAAAACTAATTATTATAAATACAAAAAAGAAATTACCATAAGGTAAGTTTAAGAGTTGTTATTTTATACTTTTTAACAAATATTATTTTTCCTTTGTGTTCAAAAGAATATTTTCTTTTTCAACTAAATGATTATTAGTTAAGACAATTTGCGTTTGAATGGACATCTAATAGAAAATATGTACATTTCTATAATATGCGAATACTTGTATAAAAATTTGTTTTACTTTGAAATTTAATACACACGATTCTGATTACCCTACAGACCGTAACAGTTGTGTGTAGATGATTTTGTTTAAAAATATATTATTGTAATTTAATTTTGAATGGTTTTAAATCAGTTTAACTTTGCATTTTTGGTGAAGTTAGTATAACATTTTTATTGTAATTGAAAATCCCTCAAATTTTAAAATAATTGCTTTATCCGTTCAGGAGCGCCACCTATCGGAAAAATTAAGGTTTAGAATTTTTATCTCTGTTCCTTGCTACTTGAAAAGGCAACAATTTAAATTTCTTCCTTGCAGTCCGTTGTTTTCGGACTAGCAAAATGTGTTTTGGAAGGACAAATAGAAAATGTTTTAAAATCCTGGTAAAGCTAATGTTTTGCTTTAATTTTTTACCGAATAAATTAAAAAACGTTAGAAGTTTTCCATATAAAGTTAATTTTAAAACTGCGATCAACAGTAACAGAAAAATTATAGGTTAAGGACAATGTAAATCTCTAAGCAAGAGAGAAAAGAGATGGGAATCCTTCCCAAAGTTTATCATTAAAAAAAAACAACTTCATCCCATAATATAGACTAGATTACATCCAGATCCCACAATGT